CGCCGCTGCTGYCCTTATCGCGGCGGCGGCCGCCCCGCTCCCGGCTAATTGCTATGCGGCAAGCGGCTCGTTTCGCCCCCGGCCCGGCTTCCCATTTGTGTTCTGTCAAGGAGAAAATTAACATGGAGCCAGGCCAGGAGCGGCTCCGGGGCGAGCGCGCGGCGCGCCGGGAAGGCAGCGCCGATTTCTGAATGGGAGCCRCGGAGGATCAGGTGGTGGCAGGAAGCGGCGGCTCCGCTCGTTAGCCGCTTCGTCAGGGAAGTCGAGGAGCCAAAGGAGAGAGGGGAATAATCACCCGGAGCGCACGCACGTCCCTYCTTGACTGCTGATCTCTGCTCTTTGCTCGCTCCGCGCTGAGCAGCGCTTCTGCAGAGCAGGTGAGGGCTACGGAGTGCAGAGTTTGCAAGGGGAAAATAAAATATTGCCTGTCTTGAGCGGGCTCCGTTGGGTGTGAGACACCCTTCCGGAGCCCTTGTGCCAGGGAGGCAACCGTGATGTGGTGAGGAAGGACTGGGAGGCTGCCCGAGCCCTGGCCCAGGCTGCCCAGGGAGGCTGCGGAGGCTCCTGCTCTGCAGATCTGCCAGCGCGCCGGGATGCGCCCGGGTGCCCCGTGCTCYGGGTGTCCCTGCTGGAGCAGGGGGGCTGGGGGAGCCCTGGGGGTCCCTTCCAACCTTAATGGTTATGTGGCATTCTGTGGTATTCTGTAACTGCTGTCCGAGTGGCCCTCCGCACTTGCCTCGTGGTTGGAGTCCAGCAGAGCACAGGAGCACCTAGGAATCCTATTGGGAATTTGCCCGGGGAGCTTGCAAAGCAGCCACATGCAAAAATGAGAACAGACCACAAAGGGCTTCCTCCCCAGCTAGTCATCCTCCCTTTTTGTGATCAATAGCAGTATTTTTGGAGTGCTTTGATGCTTTTAGTGTCAGAAATACGTGAGGTGGTGACCTCCTCTGGGAGGAGACACCTCAACCATGAAGGTGAGTGTTGCTGTTGAGGGGAACCCAACGTGCCAGAGATGCCCAGGAGGGGTATGCAGAGCCTTCTACTCTTTCCTTGCTGTAGTTTCCATGACCAAAAGTCATCAATATCTGATTTAATGATCTGTGCTATTAAACTGCAGATCGATGGGAGCCTGTTAAGTAGCTCTTTGGTCCCGAGATGTTGTGACATTAATGATCCCCTCCTGGCTTTGAGGAGCAAGATGGGGCGGGCAGACAAAAATGCTGATTTCTGACCTCTCTGCACTGTGTAAATACTGAAGGAGATTCCCAAAATMACAATGGGCCAAAACCTGCTTTACGAGTGGGCGTGGGATGCAGTAGGTGCAGAGGTACCCGCTTGTTTAATGACTTGTAGACTGTATCCATCAAGATTGCCAGCGTTCCTCCGCTGGCGCTCAAAAACTCCAGCGCCCAGGAGAGAAAATTGGCTGTGAATTCCTCCGACGCTCGCTGAGTCATCCTAAATCCCCAGCCTCGCAGTAATACCTTGCCAGATGGGCTGCATTTTTCAGCAGCCATCTCTGGAAGGAGCCTCAAGACATCGCGTAGCCCGGAGATCTCGGCTCTCGCCAACCTTTAACTTGACGGATTTGGGGTTTTAGCAGCAGGAAAACTTCACTCTCCCTGTCTCTCACAACGCCCCTGGCCACGCCAGCCACAAAATTTATTAAATTTTGTAAGAGAAGCTGTGATATTCTTCTAAATATTTAATTTGGCRTGGTCGGGAGTCTAAAGATCTGTTAAGTCTGGCTTCATCCGTCAAAGGCACGTTGGCTTGGTGGCCTTCCTTCTCCTGGAAGCAGAGGCTTTTGATGCAGCTGGGCTTGGGCAGGCCTTTTCAGTCATTAATGAAATATTTCCTCTATAATAAAGAGATCAATGAGATGTAATCGCACCATCTGGAAGCTCCAGGACGGTTCCTAACTGATTTTTAAATGACAAAAATCTGCAACCACACGGGCATCGCCCTTGGGCTAAATAACACCCCAAAAGTGGGGAGCTGCCAAATCAGTCCTTTATCTCTACCCTTAGATTTTATGTCGCTTGGGTTTATGAAGATTTATAACGGTGACAGTTTGGGAGATCTTTGCCTTAAGAAAACAGTAAAAATCCCAGAAAATCTGGTTTATCTGCTTTGTTGCAGTGAAACATCATCGTCGACATATTAACCTGTTCTGCCAAGCTCACGTAACCTTTAGATCCTCAGTTAATGTATATTTTTATAAAAAGCAAGTTGTAAAAGGGAGGAATAAGGGTCTCTTTTGCCCTATGGGAAGGGGCCGACTTGTTTGCATCAAGTCCAGAGCACTCCTTTAAATGGGAATTTTCCGAGCAGGGATGGGATGGGCAGAGGGGAGAAGGGGACAGATGTGCAGGGTTTGTTGCTTGGGAATAATGGGTGCGGAAATAAGCCAGTCTTGAGTTTGAGAGCTTAAATAAGCCAGTCTTGAGTTTGAGAGCTTCAAGCTTTTTTTATTGCAGGCTTTGTGGTATCAGGCAAATTATTCCCAGGTGCTGGGGATCTCGGCCCGTCTCCTGGAAGGTGGCGATGACAGCACTGCTGGACGGAGGTGTTGTGGGAATATTGCTTTGAAAAGGAGGGGAGAAGCAGGAGGTGCAGGAGGAAAGCACCATTTTCATTCGATAATCACACCAAAAAATTCCCCAAGGGTTTCAGGTGCAGATTTCCTTTCCAGGCTCAGCAAAAAGCAGCATCTAAAGTACAGAAWTGGACACAATTGATGTGAGTGAGTTTAATTTCGTGATTATATTCAGTTGTGTCGGCCTTACTAGAGGATTTTTTACTAGAGGAATGATGATGAAGAGCTTCAGACACGCTGCTATTAACCATCGTGTAAGTACATTAAAAAGATATGTCTAAATCACGGCGCTGCCTGGGAGGCTAATTAGCTCTTTATTGTTGCTTCAGCAGAAGGAGGTCGTGAAACACTGAACTTTCCTCATCCCGGGATTTCATCCCTTCAGAGATCCTTGAAACACGTGGCCACAACTGCTGTGCCGGCAGGATACCTCAGCCTGCAGGGCTCCRACGTGCTTACGAGTGCAAAATCCTTTAAAATATCGAGACCAATTTCCAAGACTCAGTGGTTTTGGAGCAGAAAYATTAAAATAGAAATATTTTCCAAGAGCTTTATTTAAAGAGTTCTCAAAAAATCCAGCTTATCCTCAGTCTGCAGTAGTATTGGCTGGCTTCGTGTTGTCTGAGGACTGCCAGCACGTTAGCAGTTCTCCCTATTTCTCACCAGGAATCTTGTGTGGAGTAAAAGTGAAAACATCTGTGTTTCCTCTCTGTGCTAATTTGAAAACTAGCATCATAATTTGGAGAAAAAAAAAACAAAAACAAACAAAAAAAGGCATTAGGTTTGTAGGGTATGGGGCAATATTTTTAAAAGCTCCYAATTCAAAATTTCACTCTTAAGTTTCAGCGAGTTTTAACTCCCAGTACCTTTGGGGAAAGGAATTGCCAATTATCTCACATTAACGAAAAGAAATGTTCGCTGAGCCTTTAATTATTGATCGAGGGGCTGTTCATTGGCTTCTTCATTTAACAGCTTTGGCTGTGATTMCTGTGCCGGGCTCAGGTTTTCGTGGTGGCTGCTACGAGGTTTTCCATTTCCTCCGTGCTGATAAGGGTGCCTCGGTTATCTCCAGCCCTTTGCCTTTTTTCCCCCGTTTGCTGTTTTTCGCAGTTGCTGCCTGGTGATTCATGTGAAGCGGCCTCCTGTTTTCCCTGAAGATAAGGCAGCGTTGGGAAAACCGTAAATACCCAACCAAACTAATCAGAGGCCGCGGACGGACGTTACGTGTGTTCTGCTCTCGTGCATCATTTGGCAAATGTGTGGGTTTAGGTTGGTTTCCAAAGCATCTGACGAGACAGTTTGCTCCCTTGGTTCCTTGGGTTGTGTTTGACCTTCCCCAGGAGCTGGAACGTGCTGTTGAATCCAATAGGTTTGTTCGAGAGGCACAGGTAGGAGGGAGGGGGAAGGAAGCATCACACGTCTCGATGGTGCTGCCTCGGAGGAGATTCCAGCAGCTGCCGGGAGACGGGGAGGTCTGGGCATGGATAATGCTCTCGAGGGCCTCAGAAAGGCTCCGCTATGGAGGTTTTATGAGCTAGGAGCTCTTTAATGATCCCCGAGACAGTCTCCTTTTCACTTCGTTCTGTGCCTGGCGAGCCCGGCGAAGGCGTCTGAGGCTCCTCGGCCCCAGGCGCTGGGCTGCCGTATCCTGGTGTGCCGGGCTGAGTCGGAGGGATGGATTTAYGGATTGCAGCAAGGGGTGCCCCCAACCCTGAGCTGGGGTTTCTTGCATGGCTCTTTTTCCCTGGAAGGTTTAAGCCCAGCTTTGAGCGAAGGGAAGGCTCCCGTCTCTGCAGGCCCTGTCCTACCAGCTGGTCCTCCTGGTTATTCCCTGGTGCTGCCCAAGGGGCAGCTTGCCCCGGCTCTACCCCTGCTGGCAATTCCATGGTTCAGGCCCTTGTTTCCTTTCCCTTTCTGCCACCCTCACCCGCCTCCGTCCCGGCTGCCATTTCCCTGATACCTTTGTCTCCCGGAATCTGCGCGTTGGATTCCCAGCTCCGTGGTGGGCTGGACCAGGAGGTGTTGGGGATTAGGGGATCCCTATTCCCCTGTGCTTGGCCTCCACGCTGGGATGTGGAGCCCGCTTCTCCCGCAGCCTTGGGGAGAGCTGGAGAGCAGCCCACATCCCTCTTGTCCTGGGGAGCCCAGRACTGGACACAGGCTCCACATGTGGCCTCACCAGGGCTGTGTACAGGGGGACGATCCCTTCCCTCGACCTGCTGGAGATGCTCTTCTTGATGCCCCCAAGGATCCTGTTGGCCTCCTTGGCCACCAGGGCACTGCCCTCATGGCCAACTTGTTTAATTGATTAATTAAGATTAAACGAGATGAATGGAGGCCACACGTAATGCTCTAACGATGCTCCTGCTGGCGCCTGCCGCTGTCGTTGCTCCCGCAGGTGTCGGAACCAGGAACTACTACAGGAAGTTGGGCTACGAGCTGGAGGGGCCCTACATGGTGAAGCGGCTGCAGTGACGCGGCGGGCGGCCGGCCCCGCGGCCCTCATCCCGCACGTGTGGAGAAACCCGCAGCTTCCGCCRTCAGGCCCTTCTGCTCCTCAAGGGTTGAAACCAGCTTTCGCATYGTTCTCCGCGCTGACACGGCTCCTTGGTTATCCCAAGGGACGCGACTCCGCTCTTTCCAAGGACCCCGTGAGCTGTTTCCTTGCTGGTGGCGCTCGAGTTGATAACCTCAAACAAGGCTGAGACACGAGGTGTGGAGATAACCAAGGCTGGAGGGAGCAGCGCGACCCTCCTCGGAGCAGCAGCCCCGTTCGGCTCCACGGAGGACGAGTCCCCGYGCGGCTCCCTGCTCTGCTGCAACCCCGGGAAGGTTTTCCTGGCGCCTGGATCCTCCCGGTGCAGCTGGTGCCTGGCGCCCCCCTGCAATCTGGTGTCCTCCCAGCGCGGGCACCGCTGGAAACGCTGCCCGCGGGCAGGGCCGGCGCTGCCGGAGCCTGTGGGAGCTTTMTGGCAAAGTAAACCAAATGCTGGGGCTGCTTCTTAGCTTCCCGCGTGCGTCTCTTTTTTCCTCCTGTGCAGGCCGTTTTCAGCCACACTTTTTTGAGTGCAATATTAGTAAATGCCCAAGGATTCGAGCAGGATTAGGCCTGGATTAGCAAAAAGTGGCACTTCTTGTGCCCAAGCTGCAGCCCTGGGGTCTCAGCCCCATCCGGGGCTCCTTCCCCGCTGTATCTCCCTGCCGGGAAGCGCATCCTGCTCCATCCCTCTTTCCTCCCCTTTTCCAGTGTGCAGTTCCATGGGAGTTTGGCTGGACGAGGCTCATGCTCCCAGGCATGGGAGCAGCCCCTGGCTTGGGCTGCACCCGAGGATGGGGAGGGAAAAATCACGGGATTTGGGAGCCTGGCAGCGAGGGTCTCATGCTGGGACCCCTCCAAGGGGGAGCTCCGGCCCCCCTGAGCACAAAGGAATTCCTCCAGGAATAATATATATGTAAATGTATATATATTTGCATGTATTTTAAAGGTGAGTCATGCCCCTTTCTGCACTGATTTGAGCCCCTTGCCTTTCTTCTCCTCTGTGTTTTGGGGTCCCCAGCCCCTTTCCCGCCTCCCCGAGCTCCGGGAGCTGCAGTCACCCGTCCTGCCACCAAAACGAAGGCCGCGCTGCCGCATTCCGTGTTTCTGGCGGCTCCGTTCACGGCCCTCGGCCTCACTGGGACAGGAATCGCCCTCTCGGACGCCCGGGAGGCCCAGGGAGCCCAGGATCTTAAATGAAGCTCCTTGGGCCTCCGGCAGCCTCGCCRAGGAGGCCGGCGCAGCCTCCGCTGCCCGGGGCTCAGCCGCTGGCCCTGCTCTTCCTCCCTCCAYCACCACCATCCTCCCCATCACCCCCGGAGCCAAGTCCTGGTCACAAAGTGCCCCGGTCCCCAGCACGGGAGCGCAGCCGATACCCCCGTCCTCGCCCTGCSTCCGCCTTCCGCTCCCGCGGGGTCTCGTCAGCCTTTTCTCTCGGGTTTTAGGGCAGCTCTGTTATTTYGCATGTCTTCTTTTTCCTCCTCCCTTTAACAGATGGAAAATGTTCTTGCACTTCTTCATGTGTAATTATAAATTAATAAAAAGCTGGTTTTTGGTATAATATACAGCGTTTTGAGCGATTAAAGCACATGTATAGACCAGCTAAAAATAAATGCCGAGCAGCTGCGAGGCTGCTCGTGCAGAGAGGCAGGACGAGGAGGGCAGAGCTGGGGAAAGGGTTTGGGGCCCTCCCTGCTGCAGGGATGTGCAGACCTACCTGTACCCCCAAAACCTGCTCCCCCCCAAAACCCATCCCCTACAAGCAGCAACTGGTCCTTGCTGGGAAGGGAGGGCAGAGGAGCTGCAGGAGGTTCAGGGATTATGGCCTGAACGAGCCGGGGGGGAAACCTTAATTCTCAATTAACCTTAATTAAGTTGGGGTTTGCAAAGCAGAGCCGTTTCCTTACATTTTTCCCAGGTTTGTGCAGCCYGTCCGTGGGGGACCCCCTGGTCTCGCCCAGTGCCTTGGGTATCTAATGAGGATGGGGGTAAATATTGGGCTTCATTCGATGCTGTTTTAGAGCCTGGAGGGGCTGGGGAGCCTCCGCCTAAAGACAGCGCCGTAACAAAGAACCTTCCCATCCGTTTAGCCTTTAAACACCGCTTAAGAAAACCCCAACATCTTCTATAGCACAGTCACACTCTTGAATGAGACAGAATGGGGAGAGAAGCAAAAGCCCCCTTGCTGTTAGCCAAGGTCCCCGGGGCACAAGGGACACCAAGGGCTGCGGTCCCCTGGGCTCTTTATTCCTCTCCGAAAGGCAGTGCCCATTTCCCAAGCCCAGGAAAAACCTTCCCTTTCTCCAGACCAGAACTGAGCCCTGCCCGGGTTTGCAGCCGCATGGCAGCATTTCCTACAAGGGGTAAACTCTTACCCCATTAACCAGCATTGCCCCCCAAGGGGGCAAATCCTGCTCCCCATTTAGCAACATTTCCCCCCAAGGGGGCAAATTCCGCTCCCCATTTACCAGCATTGCCCCCCCCAGGGGCAAATCCAGCTCCCCTTTTACCTGCCCCGCTGCGAGCGGCGCCGGCCCAGCAGGACCCGCGGCTCCTCCGGGCGCCGGTGACGCACGCGCCCTAATCAAGAGCTGGCATCTTCACCAGCCTTTGTGTTTATTTTAAGACAGCGGTTTAGTTCGTCTAAGCAAGAATATTTAAAAGCCACCGGGAAGAAAATCCATTCCTTTTTGTTGCTGCTCGAACTTTGCGGAGCAGATAGCGAGCGCGCTGCCAGCTCAGCCAGCACCCAGCGCTTGGCTGCGTGGCCAGGCGCCGCCRAGCAAAGAAATTAGACAAAAAAGCRCTAATTAAAACCTCGTAAAGACGAGTTCTGTGTTCCGGGCCAGCGGCACCAGCCCCGGGCCGAGGCTGAAGAGCCCCGGCGGCTCCCAGCACATCCAGGATTCCTGGGTGGTTTCGATCCATCTCTTTGCAATCCTTTGAGAGGACAGTCCCAGAACAGGGACAGACGGATGTCCCTGTCAGGACAAACAGAGGTGTGAGAGGGAATTAAAGCAAGTTCGGAAACGCCTCCATGGCCACGTCAGGAAGGGCCATAAAGGTCTCCTCAGCCCCGTCAAAGTCACTATTCAAACTGCTTTAAAGAGATTTACAACTCGGCTCCCTACTCTGGAGCTCCCAGCAGACCCATGGAGTCATTTTTGGTGTCAAAAACAGATCATTTGGATAAAAAGAAGCGCTGCCGTCGTCTGCTGGGATGCCAGGAAAGATCCTGCTGCGGCGCCGGGTGAGAAAACCCTCCGCAAGCAGGGAGAGGGGGATCGAGGCTGTTAACCCGGCCCAAGGGAAAAGCACAGCGGGTAATTTGGAAATGAAAAGGCTGCAGGAGAGTTTATCAAGACTGGCGCTGCACACACACTCGGTTAATTAATATTTTCATTAAGATCCCCGGCACAATTACTAGGAGAGCACCGCTGATGCCAAGCGTGAGGTAGCACGATTAGTAACATCAAAAGGATGAAAAAAGACACTCGGGATCATCCTCCCTTTCTTGCAAGAGCGGGTGAAGTTCAGGAACAGAAAACATCAGGTCACGCACCCRTGACCAGAAGTTTCTGCCGCAACCCCGAGCGTTACTGATTTGGAACAATTTGGGCCAAAACAGGCTCTAGGATACAAAATAATTACAGGATTGCAAAGGATCAAGTGACACGGATAGGAAAGAGGCGATCCTGGAAGACATTGGAAGCATCTGCTGCCTGGCAGGTAAATGCTGGTGCTTTGTGAGCGCCTGACGAGACTTATTTTTTTTTAAATGAGGAGCTTCAGTCCCGTGCCCTTTTCCCTGTACGCTCATCCAGGCCTCATCTCCCAATTTCACTGTGTTTTTCTATCCGATTTTCAGAACTGCTTCAGGTTACGCTTGACTTTTGGGCAATAAAAATCTCAGGTGAAAGAGAGAGAGAAGAGGCACCAACCTGGAGGGCCCCGTTYCCAAATCCGCCATAGCAGATTTGCCGGATCCGGACTTCCAGACGGAAGGAATCCCGCCTTTCCTTCGGGTTAAGGACCAACACACGGTGCAGGAGCCTGTGGAGCTCATCGGGTCAGGGCCCTCCTGCTCTTCCCAGGGATCCGGAGCCTCCCACGGMGGGGTTCAGCGCTTCTCCAAGGGGAATTATCCCCTTCCCTTGGCAGACGCAGCTTCCTGAGGAGCAGGAAAGAGCCGGGTTATGCATGAGGAGCAAGAGCCTACATGAAACTATTTAAACCAGGGCCCTTATTTGCTCAGTTGGCCAAACAATTTCCAATTAAACCCACAGCAGAGGCCGTTCACCCTCAGCCAGCTTCTCCGCCGCAAGATTAAGGGAGGGAAATGTAAATTTGCTGCCCGTAATCTAAATAATTCCCGCGGTTSTTGGGAGCGATTAAGCTGCGGCGGGAGCAGCTCTGCGCACCCGGACACTGCGTGTGGAATAAAGGTTTAAAGGCCTCGGTGCCCATGGAAAAGGTCGGCAAATCCTTATCGCGCGGCAGCGGCCGGCGGCACTTTTAATGGAATCTGCTCCACTCCCTTCCATTTATTGGAATCTCTGGCCACGGACAGGAAAAAGGCACGTTGGAAAGGTAGTGATTCCGGGATGCTTCCCAAAGGAGCAATTCCTTTGCCGGGGCAATTCCTTTGCCGGGGCAATTCCTTGGCTGTTTTGGGAGGAGAGGAGCGGGCACCGGGCGACTCATCCCACGGGATCTCGCAGCCGCCTGGCCACCAGGCTCATCCAAACACCTGGCTCCGGATCTGGGCTCCTCGGAGCCTCCTTTCAATGCCCTGAGTGACCCYGTCCCTTGGATATGGGAAGTTCGGGACAGCCACTAACTCCAGGCTTGGGTTTTGAGGAAACACCTCTGGGTAAATAGGAGGATACAGGAAAAAAAGAAGGCAAATTTTCCCGGGATCATGTGGCCAACAGATGCCCGAGTTCTCCTTGGTGTAAATCCTCAGTGGCACTAAGGGCCAATCCCCTTTGGGAAGGCATTCCWAGGGGTAAGGAGTTCTGAGGGAATAGAGGCCAGGAATGATCTTTCCTCAAAACATTCAAACTTACAGAAATATTTTGAGCAGAACCTTCCAAATAAAGGCACCATTTATGAATACAGAAGTTCCCTCTGACCTGCTGATACAGCCTGAAGGCCTGGAAACGCTGCACAAGAAGCAGCCAAACGAGGAGACTGCTCTGCACTTCTCCCAAAAAGAAACATTGGGAAGCAAAAAGCACCGTGTGCGCAAAGTCCTGGAGAAAACCACGTCCCACGGGAGGCCAAACCATCGCAGCGAGGCCCTGGAGCCTGGAGAATATCCACAGCCAAGGGGACAGCTCTCCTCCTCACCGAGCCATTCCCTGTCCCGGAAGGTGATGCTCTCCCGGCCTTCCCAGCGCTCCGGGGCCACGTCGAAGCCGGAGCCGCGGGCGGAGGAGAAGCAGGGGCTGCTTCATGTTGCCCTGGCACATCCGAAAGCCGCCACCTGCAGGGCACAAATCCAGGGAATCGGTGAACGTGGACACACGGAGCTCGAGAGCAGCTCGGGGAATCCCTTCCCCTCCCAGCCCCTCTTTTCCCAGGATTTCTCCCCAAAACRGAGCCACCACTGCCAGGACCCTCCTGCCCAGCCTCGAGAGCAGCTGCCCCATTGCCCCCAGCCCCGCCCCCTCGCACAAGCCCCGCCCCCTGAACAAAACCCCGCCCCTTCGCCACCTCCCGCCCCTCAAATAAGCTCCGCCCCCAACAAACCCCACCCCTCGCCTCTTCCCAACACTAGCCCCGCCCCCTGCACAAAGCACCACCCAAACACAAAACCCCGCCCCCGGACCAGGACACGCCCCCTGCCGACCCTCAGAGCCAAGCCCCGCCCCTCAACCCAGCCTCCCTAGCCAAGCCCCGCCCCATCCA